GAGAAAGAGTTTGGTGACAAACAACAGCCCCTAAAAATCTGCTCCAGGGTGGAAAAATAACTTGTATGTTTGAAATTCAAGACTTCATTTTATTGACCACAACTTTCAACATGGGCATGGCCTAAATCTAACAATTTTGTGACATATTCATCCATTATTTACATTTGGTCAAAGATAAAATGGAAAACAGTGATAAAATGCCAGCCTTTCTGCTACTAACACAGCATATACTGTATTCCTGACAAAGACCATGAGTTCTTGTATTTGCTCCAGATCCATGATAGTACATTACCTCTACTGAGAAATGACTATTTCTCTTCAGTGGACATAAACCAAGTTTGGTACTTTTAAATTAAAAAGCAAAGATATTAATAAGATGCTGAGAATCCATCAAAAAAATGGTCAAAAGGGTGAAAATTTACTGGAATATCTACCTAAAGCAAAGGTCTGGCTTCCCTTTAGCCCAAACTAAAAAACAAAAAACAAAACAAACAAACAAACAAAAAAAAAAACACCACCAAAAAACCAAAATATCAAAAAACAAAACAACCCACCCTGAAATTGATATACAGCAAAGCCTTCAAGGGACACTCCTGCTCCTGCAGCAAAGACAAAATGCACACAACTAAAAAGGAAAGGAAACAATGCAGCAAACAGGATACCCTTTATTGCACTCTGTTTGGTTCCTGTGCATCTGGAAACTCCACTGAATAAATGCATTAGAACAGAATAGCATAAATTTGATATTATCTGAAGGGACATCATAAAAATGCTTTCCCCTCCTGCCTTGCATGAGAATTATGCTCAAACTACCTTCAAGTGTCTGATAAAATGGTGACTTCTGTGATTTACACAAGTTAGCAGATGTGTAATTCATACTGTTCTGTTATTTGTTAAACAACATATTATGTCTCCAGTTGTTCCTTCACCCTTGTTCTGTGATCAGGAAATCATAAGAGGGCACAAGTACTCAGCACTGGACTGGAATTCTTCTTGGTTTTGTCTGAGTTAACTCCTTTCCATCACACATTGTCTCCTAGTTTCTTTCTATACTTCAATCATAGTGAATGTATTGATTAATATCTCCCATATTTTGTTTCATAAAGATCAGTATTAGCAGCAGCAGTATCTATATTTAAAAGTGGCC